CATATTGTATCGCATAAAAGTGTTATAGACAAGCGTATGGTTGCAAGAAAGAAATACGACAACAGCAGAAATAGATTTACGTGATTTATTTCAATAGGAACGTGTGTGTTTGGGACAGCTACCTTGTGGTATAGTTCATAGGCCGGCTGAAGATCTGGGTTGATCTCTCATAGTAGTTCTCACTGGTTGGCGTGGCGCTACTGCTGCTGGCTGCTGCTGACCGCTTAACCTGACCGTGACAGGTCTCTTCCCTGGCCTCCTGTTGACTGCTGTTGTACTTCCATATGACCCCTTTTATGGCGTTTTTTTTTATGGCTTAACAGGCTCGAAAAACGACGCGAGTATAATTAGGAGGGAAGCATTTTTATTGGTCGAAAAATAGAAACACTTTAAAATATTATTTTATTTTTCGATCGGAACTCGTACGTCGGGCAAACGACGATAATGGTCATTTTGTGACGGGGCCTTGTCCCGTTCACATCCGGCTCTCGCTCTTGAGTATGTTAGTTTACTTGCCTGCAAATCAGCCGAGATATGTCTTATTTCATTTTATAAGAAAAGCATACAATGTCAAAGAGAGAGCGTGAAGCGTGACAGCCAACAATAACTGAAATAGGTCACAATTTTGACTAGGAAAAAATGTCCCAAAATTTTTATGTTTATGATTTATAGAGAAGCTTGCCTTTATGAATAATATATATTAAGGACAATTTTTAAGAAGAAAAAAAATGTCGATGAAAAATGAATTTTTACAAGATTTTTTAAAATTTTAATTAGAATAATTTTTAATATTTTTAAATCTTTTAAAATTCAGTTTCAATGGTATAACTCTTAAGAAAGATTAAGTAAAAAACAAAAAACAAAACTATATTTATTCATCACATCTCGTGAAGCTTATTACAATATTTCAATATTATGAATATTTAAAATAAAACATTGAATAGTTTCTGTATGTGCAAAATTTAAAAACGTGCCGAATTTTATAGATACGGTAGCCCATACTGTCAGAAAATAAGAACAACAATGATAGAAAATTTAGAGCCAAAATTTTGAACCAAAATTCTCTAAAATTCAATAAACATTAGATTATGAATAATACTTTCTCAAAATTTTTAAAATTACCGAGTACAGTGTAACCCGTATATAAAGGAGTTGTCGGGACCGGAGAAGAAGTCTCTTATATCCGGGTTTCGTCTATTATATATACATTAACACAGGCTCTAATTTGGGACCAGAGAAAATCTCTTTTATACCCGGGTCTCTTATATCCGGGTTACCGGGCACTTAAAAAGCTTTTACGTTATATTCCTCAATTATTTTTTTAATGGTTAAAGCCCCCACCCCGTAGAACAACATTAGATAACAAACATTAACAATCTATTCGTCATCGGCTGTCACGGAGGTGTTTTTAAAACCTAGGCAACAGCTTTTTTAAGCTGTCCAACGTGAATAAACAATATACCGTCGTGTTGAAAAATGCATTTCTGTGATATTTTAAACTTAAAAAATAATAACAGTTGTTTTAAAGCAAATTAATTATACTTTAAATCAGAAGTATATTTTATTTTTGGAAGATTTTTTAATAGATTTACATTTTTAACGCTTGGCTAAAATGGCGCTAAATAAAAAAGTTTAGAAATTAAAAAAATTCAATCAGTTTGAATTACTTTTGAAATAAAGCATAGTATTTTGTTTTGTCCATTGGAAATATTAAATTTAATCTCTCAGCTTAAAATTAAAACTAAAATAAAAGCTTCAAGAAAGATTTTCCATTATTAAAAGTTAATTTATTTTTAAATGTCAGGTATCGCCTTTTTTTGCGGAGGTACCTACTTGTATGTACAGTGTAACCCGGATATAAGAGACCCGGATATAAGAGAAACCCGGATATAAGAGAGATTTTATCTGGTCCCAAGTTAGAGCCCATACTTACCTAAACAAAATAGACCAAACCCGGATATAAGAGACTTCTTCTCCGGTCCCGACAACTCTCTTACATCCGGGTTACACTGTATTGTCATTTTTTTTTGTTTTTTTTTAAATGCTGATGATTAAGACGTTCCAGCCGATGCCAAGAAGAAACTCTGCCACAAACGGCAATAAAACTCATTATTTTATCAGTTCTGCATAGTCCTTGACTGTGTGGGGTTCAGCGTACCCGGATTAAATGAGAATTTAATACGGGATACCCTGCCCACAAAATACAACGCAAATTTCAAGAAGAAACAACACGATAAGGAACGTTTATAGAAAATAGAACATTGTATATTTATTATCTTGTGAATAGGGTAAAAAAGATTAATGTTTTAGTTCGTTTAAGCCAAAATGTGATTTTGATAAAAATGTCTGTGTTCGCTGTCTTTTAACAGAGTAGCAGAGTAATATATATTTGTATAGTTGCAATGAAAAAGGGCGAGCAATTTAAGTTGAAAAGAGAGTGTGAATGAGGAATAAAGATAAAAGGAAAATGTACTTATGAATTGTTTTGGAGTCAGTTGTAAATTTGTTGTTGTTGTTGTTGTTCTTTCCTACTCCACTTTCGGCTCTTTGTGTCGGTTTGAGTCAGTGATGAAATTTACTGTCAATCTTCTGTGATCTTTGCGCCCTTCTCTGACTGACTGGCGACTGACTTGAAAACTCTGTATTTATTGTTGACTTTTTTTTCACACTGGCTCGTTATCTTTTTTTTTTTTTTTTTTGGTTTAGCAAATCGCCTCCTTTCATTGGTCAGAAAATTAATTTCACACCTTATTGTGAAATCTGTTTTTGGTCGTTTTGATCCGATTTTGCGGGTGTGCAAATCTACTTTGTGTTTTTTTTTTAGTCATTTGTTGGAATATAGGATTTGTATCCTATAACTGAGACTGATTGACATATCATAAATCTTTTAAAAAATGTAGTGAAAATGTCATAGCTAACCTTTCTATTAGAGAACGACCCAGAAACAGTGCTAACATTAGGGCCGATGCAAATGTCTCGTGCCCCTCCAGTCTATGATACGTGGCCCCCAACTTTACTACACCTCAATTTTCATAACATAGTATTCATATAAAATACAAATTTTATTATCTGTCTACATCTCTGAGATGAGATATTATGCTTATTTACATTATTCTTACTGTTATCCTCATCTTCATTGCCATATTCACAACGTTTCGGTCGTTGTTCGCTCCGGGCTTCTTCTTCAGGTGATTGGAATTTCGAACCCTTTATTGCGTCCACCGGGGTAGATTGTTCTAGTTCCACGTGTCATGCCTCTTCTGGATGTCTCAGTCATTTCCCTTCAACTCAACTCTCCAAATTTTTTTTTGGTTTACCACTGCTGTAGCCTGGTGCTGAACTCACATCTCTTTGGGTCTAGTCACCGAGACATCCGGAAGAGGCATGGCACGTGGAACTGGAACGATCTATATCAGTAGACGAAATAAAGGGTTCGGTTCGAAATTCCAATCACCTGAAGAAGACTGGAGCGTACAACGGCCGAAACGTTGTGAATATGACAATGAAGATGAGGATAATAGTCCGATAATGTAAATAATATAAATAACAAATTTTATTGTAATCTAATTATGTACAGTAATGGATCCTATGCAATATAGGTAAACGATTCAACTAGAAAAATTGAAAACAAGTACAGTCTATGAATACAAATTAGAGACCTGTCATAATAGATCATTCTATCTTAAATAAATCAACAATGTCTGGCGGCAATTTTTAACATCAACTTGAGATTTTTCTTGTTAAAAAGTTGAAGAATTTTTTTTTCAATAAAAAAAATTTTTAAAAGTTATTTTGAAGAAAAAGAGTTTCTTCCGAACCCAGTCAATGATACGGTCATCCCCACTCTCTTTTTTTCATAAGTAACATTCATCGTGGTGTCATTATACAGCTCCTTTCTGCTAGTTGAATTTTCATAAGGTTCTATTCATATAAAATAGAAATTTTATTTAACCTAATTATGTACAAAATGGATCCTATGCAATATAGGTGAACAATTCAATTGGAAAAATTGAAAATTTTTTCTAAATAAAATTTTAAGAATTCATCGTGGGTCATTCCATCTTAAATAAATCAACAATTTTTTTTCAGCAATTTTTGACCAACTTGAAAATTTTCCTCGTTAAAAGTTTGAATTTAAATTTTCCATGGATAAAAAAAATTTTTGAATTTGAAATTTTTCCATGGATAAAAAAAATAAAAAGAGTGATCGATTTGGACGGCGGTGGGGTGGTTAAAATGCTAGAATGACGTTAAAAGCAGCGAAAATTTTTCATAGTTTAATCTGTAACGTAATATAAATGTAGGCACAAAAAGCAAATGTTGGTAATATAGCAGGGTCACAAAACACTGCCCGGGGCCCACGATCAGGCACCCACACTTGGTTTAGGGGTAGTGGGGAGCTCGATGGCAGAACTGGATTCTTTTTTATCTCTGATTTTTTTTTAGCATTTCATCCCTCAAGCCAGGTGGGAGTGCCACTAGTATGCAAGGAGTGAGTGAGAGAGAGAGAGAGAGAGGGTGTAGAGGGGATTGAGAAAAGGATAAAAAAAAGAGAAAAGAACGGGGATCAAGGCATCAGAAGATGACAATTGACGTTACATTTAAATTTTTGAAGATTGTCGTTATTAGGGAAGCAAGTAAGAGGAAGAGAGTTCCACTGTCGAGAAGTGCGAGAGAAGCAGTTTTACCCGAAATCGTGAGACAGAGAAAATAATCGACTCTTGATAACAAAGAGTTTAAACTTTAAACAATAATAATCATCTTTTACTTTTAACGATAAATAAATTTGACTAAAGCAACTTTATATTTAGGAGGCAATGGTTAAAAAAAAAAGTGATATAAGATTTGTTTTTTTATTAGTCACGTCATAGAAATTGACATCCGGATTCCTTTCTTACTAACAAACGATTCAAATTTCTATTTTCCTGGAACTCGGGGCTCGTGTGTGTATGCATGACTGGGCTTCAGTTTGCAACTACTCAATTCAAAAACTTATCAACATGTACAGCTGTGGAAATCCTTCAGATACCACTCTTTCGCTTCAAATAAACCCTGTAAGTAAAAAAAAAAAGAAATCACTTCCATTTGTAGAATTTCTATCTGGTTGCTATATAATTTTACAATAATTAATTTTTCTTTTATTCTAACCCGCACATACAACTGTCCTTAATGGAGTTGATGAAAGGGCCGAATCGAACGTTACGTGTTTAAGACATATTTCGATTGATAAAAAAAGAACATTTATTTACGAATGTTGTGTCTAATTGTGATTATTTTTCATTGTTTTAGAGATTTAAAAAAAAAAATCCTTTTCGATTCTTGTCTGATTTGTTTTACTTTTAAATATTACATGTTATTTTGAATTAATTTCCTTATTTTTTCGTTTGTTTTTCAATGTTATTGTAAGTTTCAGTCATATTTGATCTTTTAAAATTTAAATTCACCTCAAATAATGTAAAAGTTAAAAAGTTACTTATTGTAAATATTAATTAATTCACCACAAGAAATTTTAAATCAAAGCTTGTTTTTATTAAGTTTTTAAATCAAAATTTGTTTAGTTTGCTAAGCAACAACTCCAACCACTTAAGTGAAAAATTATCAAAAATCAGCGAGTTATTCACATTTTGTGAGTGCAGATGTTATTCGAGGTACTTATAAGGATTTTTATTTACAGTTTACCCCCCCAAAAAAACCCCTGTTTTTCAAGTTTTTGGCTTGTTTATCGGAGTGAGCGCGAATGCTGACCCCCACTTAGAAATAGCGCATACGTTCGTCTATATCTGGGTCGATCGCAAAGGTCAAGCCAACCGGAGTGTAAGGTCCTTGCTGTGGGAGAATTTGGCGTGAATTTTAGTAAATATAAATTCCTTTTATTTTGGGAGTGAATTAACAGAAAAAGATCCATCATATTTCGTAATGTTTTGGGAAATAGAAGTGTGCGTGTAATAAATTCGCCGAAAAAACAGCATACGCTGATGAAAAAATGTCCCAAACTTAAAAAAAGTTTTATTCTCAAAATCTTTATGTTATTAAGAATAACGACCAAGGTATTTTTATTTTTTTCTAATTTTTTAATCCTTTCTAGCAAATTTTGGTTAAAAATCTTGTTTTTTTTTCTTCTTTTTTTTTTTTTTTGAGGTCACGTAATAATATTTAGCATTAGTTTTTAGCGCCATTTTTCAGTTGAAAAACACGTTAATTTGGAAATTCTTGCAAAAATCAATTACTTATCTGATTTTAGTGAAACTTTCCAAACTTATTCACAATTGAATGAAATTATTTTTTAAATGTTTGTTTTTTAGAAAGTCATGGTAAAAATATTTTTTTACATCTGTTACCTCCCCCTCCTTACTTAATTTTATGAAAACGCGACTTCTGTGTAATTTTGTGATTATATTAGTTAAATAAAAGCAGAAGACTTTGAAGAATATAAATCATCGATAATTTTAGTAAATTTCGACTCGATGTTACCCCCCAAAATTAAGCCCTGATTTGTAAAAACCCAGTAAAACTAAGACATTATTTAATTAAAAAAAGCTTTTAATGGCTTTTATGAATAATATACATTAAGGACACTATTGTCTGAAGCCAAAATATTTTTCCGATGAAAAATGAATTTTTCAAGAATTGTTTTCTTTTTTTTCGAATTTTAAATACAAAATGTGGTAAATTTGTTAATATTTTCAAAATTAAGTTTGAATGTGTATCTTGGAAAATGCTGTTATTAAAAAGATCTATTTTTACAGATCATCAATTTGAAAGCTTATTGCATTCTGCGACACGACAGTATTTTTAAAATATTTTTTAATATGCAAAAAATGTATTAAAATGTTTTCTCCAAAACTATGGATGCACGGTTCAGAAATAATAGGTTACGTAACGTGTTTTAAGAGAAAACCCTTAAGAAGCTGCTTTGCTTTCCTTCTGGCTATTACGTATCAAATTCTCTGACTGACCATCATCGTCGCATTTTCAAAATTTTTAATTTTCTTTTTTACATCCTATTTCACTAAATATTTTTAATTTCATTTTTTAAATATAATTAATTTGTTAAATATTTTTTTTTCAGTGAGAGGCGGTGCAATTATTATTTATTTTCCTTTTTAGATTCAATTTTAGGGACAAAAACAGTGCAGGCTTTTGACATATTCGTTAAAAAAAAGTACCTAAAAAATATAAAACATTAAACTTTTGAAAGTACTTTAATTTTTAAAAATTACTTTAAGCTGGTTTACTTAAAATTCAAAAATACTGTCACTTTTATCCTTCCATCCAATAGATTGCTCTGACGTTAATTGTCGATACATTGACCTAAACGTCAATTCACACCTCCAAAACCGATCACCACAGTTGTAGACACGCTTCTCTTATTTTTAAGTAAATTTTTTCTGCTAAAAAATTAAACAGTGTTTGTTTCCAATTACATTAATTAAACTTTAAATTTTCTAATTTTCCTAAAATAACTTTTGAAAATAGTAATCGAATTTTACAAGATTTTTAAACAGAGAATTTCATTTTTGATAACAAAGTTGTCAACAGTGGCTGACATGATCGATTTTATGTTAATTTTGATGACTCAAAAAAAAAAACATGATTTGTAATTAAAATTTTGGACGTGCTAGGAAGGATTAAAAAAAATTTAAAACTGATCAAAAATACTTTGGTCTTTCCTCTTAAATAATAACTTAAACATTTTTAGACGATAAAAAAGTTTGGGGCCTTTTTTCATCAAGGTATGCTTTTTTTTTAGCGAAGTATTGAAACTCGCTACGAAGATATTATGATAGAATAAGAGAACAATAAAAATGAAGCATTTCTGTATGAATTTCAAAGATGATGAGTTATCATTATCTACACTCATACTATAATGTTTTTTGTTCGTATTATTACCAACGTTTCGGTCATTGTGCCTTCTTCAGATCACGGTAACCTTCACAGAAATTCGAACCGAACCCTTTCTACGACGGTAAATTGTTCTCAGGTGGCACGGTGGAGTAATGGATAGCGGAATCGGGGAGCCGAGTTCGAATTCCATTACTTTCACTTACGTGCTAATACCCTATGGGTAAAGCAGGACAGACCGGGTTCTATAGCCTTGGATGGCAACTGGTCTACTGCAGAAAGAAATTGCAACCTACTGCGGGGAAAAAATCTGCCTCGTCAGTCATGTATCAAAAGATACACGATCGCCTAAGCGTGTATAACACATATAACTGAAATTGTTCTAGTTTTACTGTCTATGTCTAGTGCTTTCCTTCTTTAGTATTTGTCAGTGATTGACAGTACTGTTATTTTTTTTCTTCTTCTTCCGAGCCTGACATTAGCTTCCTGAGAAGATTAAAAAAAGTGTTGGTTCGTAAACTTGTAATTCTGAGTTCATTTCCTGAACGACTCAGTGGAAAGAGGACTAGCAATAAAATAGTTTAAAAAAAATAAAGAACAAGACGAGATTATCCCTAGACATAGACAGATTAACGAAAACAAATAACCCTTTCGTAGATTACATTGTCCAGTCCGAAATTCCCTGAAACTCGTTCTTAAATACAAAATTAAAAAAAAAAAAATTTTGTAAAATTTTTAAAACGAAAGAAAAGGCTAAAATCTACGGAATAAAATTACAAAATAAAAAAATGCTAGAAACGAAATAATAATTAATGCGCAAACTTTGGTCATTAATTAATTAGTATTTCCTTTCTAGCATTTTATTTTGTAATTTTATTTTGTAAATATTCATGCTCTTTACAAAATTTGCTCATTGATTGTTAAAAAACAACATTTGTCATCGCTTTACGGCGCAACTTAAATGCGGAGTAATTTTAGACGAGTAAGTTCAGTTAAGAGCAGTAAAAAGGCTCTTAATTAAGCCTCCGCGTGCTAAATGTTCCGCACTGAATGTAGTTAAACAAGGCCAATAATACGGAATTATGACGATTTGGGTAAATTTTAAGAGATATTTAGCACGGGTGTTAAAAAGCAAATCTACCATAAATCTATCAGATAAATTCTTCTACCTACTGACCAGACAAAAAATATTTTATATTTATTTCTGGCTTTGCTTTTTAATTTTTAAAATCAAAACAAAGCCAAAATTAAAGAAAAAAAAATCAGTTAAAATTAAAAACATTTTTAAAAGATTTATTTTTTCTTATTGCAGTATGACATAATTTCATTTTTTAGGTACCTGTACTGATTCACTAAAAAATGAGAATATCATGATGAAAAAGATACCTCCAACACAATAAAAATTTGCAGATTAGGACCTAGAAAACCAATTTTAAAAAAGAAGCATCATTTCTGGTGTAAAAAATAGCCTGAATATTCCAAAAACAGCATAAAAAATTTGCGGAAACCTACTGTTTTAGCTTAATGTTTAAATCCATAGAACTTTTTTGAGAATTTAAAATAAAACTTTTTTTTTTGTAAAACATGAACACCATTCTGTTCTGAATCATAAAATAAAAAATAAAAATGAAAACAAAAACACAACAAACAAACAAACAAAACTAACATATTATTTAATTTAAAAAAAACAACTTTTAATTACTTTAATGGACACTATTGTCTTAAGAAAAAATTATTTCGACGAATAACGAATTTTCACAAGAATAGGTTTGCATTTTTCTTTTTAAAAACTTAATTAGTATAATTTATAAATTAAAAAAAAAATTCTGTATTAATTTCTAGCGGTTAAGTGACATTGTAAAGTAAGTAAAAACTATATTTACAAACCATATGGAAAAGCTCACGACAAATCAACGACCCAATATTTTAAAAAGAATTTTGAATGTATTTTTATTTATATACATGTGGATTTTTGTAAATTCGCAGGGTCACCAATTTTCCGCAATTCCGGAATAATCGTGAATCTGAAACAAAAGTTTTTTTTTAATTTTTTTTTGCAATTTTCAGTAATAAATAACAAATTAATTATTTGATTTTTTTCAAATTCCCTTTTTTAATATTTTTTAAAACTTTAAAAATAACTGCGATTTTGTTGTTAAACAATTTAATTTTTTTTTAGTAAAATGTTGGACCCAACATAAGTTATTTTCTT